AAGGCTGCCCGTGTGGGAAGAGATAAAGTCGTTCAGGAAGAAGTTCAACAAGTATTTGAACAATGTGTAAGTACAACATAAGTTTTTTCAGTAACTCAAAAGTGTATAATGTATTTATATATGCTTTTCTCTATATTTCAGGAGACTCTATCCCAGACTATAACTGCAGCTGAGGACGATGATTGCAGGAGCTTACTGAGTCGAGTGTTAAATATTCCTGAGTATTCTGGGTGTATGAGGGGTAAGGGATTTGGTGTCATTCCATCAAAACTGTATAAGCAGCCAAAGAATAAAAATCTTAGCAATAAAGAAGTGATGGAGACGTTGGAGGAATTGAAAGCTCAGATTCGTGAATTACAGAAGGACAAAGAGAGATACATGTCAGAAAGGCGAGGTCCAGAGTGTAAAGATACTAGCGACAAAAATAGTATCAATTGTCTGCAGAAGCTTCCAGAGGTAATTGTATATATTACATTGAAATTAATATAGCACAATTTTCTTAATTGACACATTAATCATATTCATTATTTGTTTAGGGCATTTCACCTTGTCGGCTATATTTATCGTCACCGACTTATCGCATGGCTGGCAAGGGAAAAGTGCATAACACTTTAGGAGATCTACTTCACCATAAACCACTCCCTGCTGGATTTTTGAAAGTATCGGTTGATATTGCGTTAGAGGGGGGTGCGTTGTTGCCTATACCAGATGATATTTCGGACGCCATAGTGGTAGGAGGCGCAATAGGATCGTATGTTGCATGGCCGTCACATCTCATTTTCATAGATGATGAGGTAGGTTGAACACCATTATGAAGTATTCAAATGTTTTACGACCCATATATGAAAGTTATTCTTACATTTATATTTACTTATTTACATGATGATCTTGGACTCCTACAAAATCCAAATCAAAAGATAAGGGAATTATTGTGCGGGAAACCGATTCAGCTGCATAAAAAAAACAGGTACTATTACAATTACATGATGATCTTATTATACATTAATTACTGAATTTATATGACTTTTAGGTTCATGATCAACAGTTGCAACAAGTCAGCAAGGGTAAGATGCCTGAATCTAGCAAGGTACCCAACAAAAAAAAGGCTGAGCCAAAAAAAGCATTTGTTCCTCGATTTAGGTTGTGCCTTGAAACATATGTAGGAACAACAGATGTGGTTGAGGGTGGCATCCGTCAAATACCTATGCAGGAAGGTATTTTTGGTTTTGAATATGCCGAAACAATTGCCAAGGAGGATTTGGACCAGATTTTCCAACATTCTGAATTAGGCATCGGTGTTATGCATTCCTACATCAAGTAATACTCTGATCAATTTTAATTAAATAATTGAACAATTTATTTGCTCATTTAAATGAATATTCTAATGTTGATTATGTTTTTATTTAAGGTTATTGTATAACAAGATGTTGGTCTCGCATGATTTGACTTCAAGATTCGCATTCTTATCTGCTAGCTGTATCAACGCACGGTCAACCGATCACACTCCAGATGTAGTCAGAGATTACTTTGTCAAATCATTTATGGCCGCAGATACAGAGAAGTTGTACTTTTTGCCATATAATACTGGCCATGGATTAGATTTCATTCTAAATTCATTTATTATAATTATTCGTTTTTTGTCATTCTATATAACATTTCCGTCTAAACTTTTGTCTTATTTTACAGTGGACATTGGTTGTTGGTCGCGATTAATCCGATGAAAGAAATAATGTATTATCTGGATTCATTGGATGGTGATCAAATAAAATATCCTGATATGAAGACTATGGTTGATACGTAAGTGATGAGATATATTGTTCTGAATAATTATCTTTATTTATTATGTGAGACTGTTCTAAATATTTGTTTATATTATGTTAGAGCTATACAAATATTTCGATCGCAAAGAGAAGCAAAAGTGCCAAAAAGGAAGACTAACAACATTAGCTGGATCAGAGTGCAGGTATATTTTCACATTTTTTACTGTTATAGTGATTCTACTTGATAAAACTATTTAAACTATATATCCTGATAAATGATCGTTTGTTTTTTCCATTTACAGTGTCCTCGTCAGTGCAATGGGGTTGATTGCGGATATTTTGTATTGCGCTTTATGAAGGAAATTATTCACTTCGGGTCAAATAGATATTCCAATCATCGTATGAATAAATTCATAAGTTATATGATTTATTTTAATAATTAACCGATATTTCATCTGAGTAATTAGTTTTAAAACTAAATCGTGCATGTTCTGTTATATTATGTAGTACTTTGATGAATTCAAGTGTGGTACTTACTCGAAAGCAGGATTGGAAGAAATTAAGGAGGAATGGTGTCAATACATTCTTGAGTTGAGAACTGTATAAGGTATATGTATCGTCAAATATTGATGCGGGATAATAATATTTCTGGAAGTCGTATGTATTTGTAAAGTTATCAGTTTTGTAATTATATGTAAATTGACTGTATTTGTGAAGTTGTTTTGAGGATCGGCTTGTGTTGAATTATATATAAGCAGGTTTATGTGAATTACAATGATTATATGTAAAGTAACTGTAATTGTTATAAACAGGTTTATCGAAAAAAATATTTAAAAAGTGATTATTTTTTAAAAAAAAATTATAAACGTGAAGAATAGACAGCGCTTTTAAGTAAAAGCGCTGCTAAAGGGTGGGGGAAGGGGGGAGAATAGGCAGCGCTTTTGAAAAGCGCTACTAAAGGGGGGGAATAGGCAGCGCTTTTCAGAAGCGCTGCTAAAAGGGGGGAGGGGGGAATAGGCAGCGCTTTTGAAAAGCGCTGCTAAAGGGGGTGGAATAGGCAGCGCTTTTCAGAAGCGCTGCTAAAAGAGGGGAGGGGGAATAGGCAGCGCTTTTGAAAAGCGCTGCTAAAGGGGGGAAAAGCGCTGCTAAAAGTGCTGCTAAAGGGGGCCTATAGCAGCGCTTTATCCATAAAAAAAAAAAAGCGATGTCTTTACCTTTAGCAGCGCCACTTTAGGCAGCGCTTTTAAACGCTGCTAAAGGTCTTATTTGGCATAGTGATATCGGCCTGCGTAATCTCCAATATGCGAAGACATTTAGACAAGGCATCATGAGCATGATTTAACTGTGTTTGCTCCTCCTCTAGTATCTCTTTATGAGCTGACCTCGGTGGATCTCCTGGAGCAGCCTGCACCATATACGAATGTGGCACCCTAAAGAATCATCTGATGCACATGTTGACGTAGCTCCAGTCGCTCTCAGCTATGGTACTTCATGTCTCCTTCGGTACCAGATGAATAAGATAATCATCAAACATGACATTCACCTCTCTATGTGTCATAGTAGGAAGAATAGAGATAACAATGTATCTGGAAATAGTTTGAGTGTAGTCGAACTGTCGCATGACGCACTCAGGCAGATGAGAAAATGTGAGACGTAAGCCGCAAGCCAACCGTCCCGAGTATAACACTATATCTTCAAATGGTCGTGTCTCACCGTGATCAACGTAGCTGTTGAAGTGCATATCTTCGGCAACCAAGCGGTCAAGATACACTCTGAATGGCTCTATCACCTGCTTCCCTCTGAGTAGGACAAATGCAGAAGCATGCGACGTATCCTCAGTGTAAGTCGGTACACACGACCAGGCAAAGATGCGGGGGAAGTGTTGGAGGATATAAGTCTGAAAAGTGTTGGAACACACGAATCATCAGTAAGGGCATTAATGCAGACATACAAACCCCAAAACTAATGGCTTAATCGTTATTCTCAATCAAAAAACATGTTTTATAATATGTATAAACTATTAATCATGTAATTTCTACTCATTTTTAAATCATCAATTTCTACTCATTTAAACACTAACTCAAAAAAACTTTTCAAAACATAAAAAACTCATAAATTTAGAATTTATTTTAGTGTTAAATGATGTCTTTGATGTACTTGTCGATTGAAGAATCTTTGAGCTTGGTTGATGGAAATTTTTTTGAGAAAGTTTGAGAAAATTTTATGTTTATTTAGTGAGAAATGAGAAGAGTTCTGATACAATTTATGCTCTAAAACCGTTGGGAGACGCCTCTTCGAAATAAATTTGATGATGCATCTTCAGAGTTTTTAAACGTTATTTCAGAATTCTATGTACTCATGGTGCATCTAAAAATATATCTTCAAAAACTAAAAATATTTTTGTATTTTTACGTGATACCTTAGTAGCACATAGATTGCATTTAAGAAATTCCCATGATTATCCCTGATGCAAGTGAATCATGAGTTACCTCAAAGTCAGAACCAAAATTCTTACCGTTTTCAAATTTTTCCAATCACAACGATTATAATTATAACCAAAAATAATAATTTTAATTTATATTGCATAAAAAAATGTTTAAAGGTGATACAAACAGTATATTATAGTAAAAATACTGCTACCAGCGGCGGGAAGAAGGCCATTTCCCTTTTTGGCTAAGAATGTGATCGCTCCATAAAAAAAACTCTGAATATATTAAAGTTCAAATTAAGAAAATACTAAATATATGCATTGGTCAAGAAATTTGTGATGAGGTCTAGTTTAATTTTAAGTTAATCTTCCATTAATTACTTTTAACAGACATATAGTATAGTTGGTAAGCAATAATATTTAATGCAATTCATATTAGCAGCATCCTTTGACAAAGTTAGTTTACTTGTGCTTCAATTAACTTGCATGAAGAACAAGAAAATGAATTGAATGATGCAAATCACAGTAAATGCATTAGAAATATGAACATTAGTACCATTGAAGTGAAAGAACTAATCAAAGCTTAATTATCTGAGTTGGCCAACTTCTAATTGACTACAACAACCAACTTAGATTATAGAGAAATCATTTTTTCACTCCTCAAGTTTTGATGTGGTTTGGAAAATAACCACCAAACATTCATAATTGCAAGATTGAAACAATAGTGTGTAACACTACTACTATAAAACTCATATTCATCTCTATGTTTTCGGCGATATAAGAATTCGATTTAGATGTTGAATACATTCAAAATGTTAATACTAAGGCTTGTTTCTGTGACATGTTGTATCTTTTTAATAGGTGAAATTGCTTTTGCAGATAAGCTTGTTACCTATATATTTGGTGATTCTTTGACAGATGTTGGGAATAATAATTATCTGCAATATTCTTTGGCAAAATCCAACTATCCTTGGTATGGAATCGACTATAGTGGCGGCCAAGCGACCGGAAGATTCACCAACGGAAGGACTATTGGCGATATCATATGTATATAGTTTCTGAATCTCAATTTTTTTTTATTGAAATTGAATAAACATGCTTTGTTGGATTAATTTTAAGTAATTTTGCAGCTTCAAAACTTGGAATTCCATCACCACCGGCTTATTTATCTGTGGCTCAAAATGTTGATGATCTCCTCAAAGGAGTAAATTATGCTTCTGGTGGAGCAGGAATTCTCAATGACACAGGACTTTACTTTGTAAGCATAACATGTTCAAAGATTCAAACTATATGGTCACTTGTCTAACTTTTATTAAAAAATTTCAGATTCAGAAATTGTCTTTTGATGATCAAATCAACAGTTTCAAGAAAACTAAAGATGCAATCATAACAAAACTAGGCGAACCTGCTGCCAACAAACATTTCAACGAAGCCATGTACTTCGTTATTGGAATCGGTAATACTTCTTCGGTCCAAAAAGTACTCTTGTTTTGAATCAGTAATACTTCAATCAGTAACACTGAATTATGCAGGTAGCAATGATTATGTGAACAATTTCTTGCAACCCTTCATGGCAGATGGACAGCAATATACTCATGATGAGTTCATAGAGCTCTTAATCTCAACCTTAGAACAACAATTTAAGGTAAATGAACATTTAACATATCAAGAACATGATAGTTAATTAAATCAACATCATGTGTTTTACTTTATACTAAAATTATTGGATTATATCAGAGACTCTACCAACTAGGAGCACAAAAAATCGTCTTCCATGGACTCGGTCCACTCGGTTGCATTCCATCGCAAAGAGTTAAATCCAAAAGAGGTGAATGTCTAAAGCAAGTTAACAAATGGATCCAACAATTCAACTCAAAAGTACAAAACCTAATCAGAAAACTAAACCATGGTCTTCCACATGCAAAACTCGTCTTCGCAGATACCTATCCTTTAGTTCTTGACTTGATCGACAATCCATCTACTTACGGTAATATTTCCACTCTAAACTTTGCATTATGAATTTTATTCTTTATCGAAAGTGAACTCATTTTGTTTCTTGCTATATTTATACAGGTTTTAAAGTTTCAAATACATCTTGTTGCAATGTGGACACAAGCATTGGAGGTTTATGCTTGCCAAACTCAAAGTTATGCAAAAACCGAAATGAATATGTGTTTTGGGATGCTTTTCATCCTTCAGATGCAGCAAATGTTATTCTAGCGGATAAATTCTTCTCTAGTCTTTTCTCTTCGGCTCCTTCTGCAGCACCTAACCCTTCACCCTAATCATATTGGATTTTGCAACTAATGCAGCCAAGTCTGAAATGTAACAATAATAGAGAGATAATGGCATATTACTAACTCAAGTATTAGTATTACTATATATACAAGTTTGTAACTGACGCTACCATGTCATATGTAACAAAAACCAATCATTATAAAATCTATATATACAAGTTCATATAGATAAAGTTTCTTTTGGTAATGAAACTTTGATATGTGAATTGATGCTAGATATTTCACTATCTGATTCTATAGAGCAAATAGGCCATGTATCGGTTCTTGAACTCCTACAACGAAGCATGTAGTGCGATGAGAATAAGGAGTTTTAAATATATAATAGATTTACTTTAATTAATTATTAAATAAAATATAATTATTATATTAATTATTAATTTATTTAATTAAATGAATATTGTATTGAACTTAATTGTTGAATTATCCGGGTTGGGTCATTCTTTTGGATAGCCCGTTGAGAGGTCCCTTCCTTCATCAGCTGATTATATATTTGATTATCCCATTAGGTCAGATAATTAAGAGTAATCGTTCCATCAGAAAGAGGGGCAGTAGCATTCTCAGTTTACACTTAGACAAATGGATTCAACCATGACTATTAGGCTATACTATCTATAATTAGGCTATACTATCTATAATTAGGCTATACGCATCAATTTGTATAAGAGCCGAATTGATATGTTGCATGACTATTAACAAAACAGCTTATTAATAAAACTTGATTTGTATAAGAGCCGAATTGATATGTTGCATGACTATTAACAAAACAGCTTATTAATAAAAGTTGATTTGCTGTAATTTATCAATTTGTGATTAGTGTCTCTGATTTATATTAGGATTTACGACTATCATTCATTCTTAATTGTATCTATATGCATTGTTGGTTGATTTTTTTTAATCTTGTTTATTTAATTTTACCATATCAATCTTTGGTTAAAGGTGAACTCCAAATTTATATTAGGTAGTTTTGGTTTGGTAGAATATATATAAATTACAAAATCAACTTTTATTAATAGGCTGTTTTGTTTTCAAGATTGATTTCAAGAGTGAGGTGCTTTGTTTTTTTTTTCTTCAGCTGTTTTGTGGCCTCTTCTTTATTCCTATTAAATCTCCAAAACAACAGTAATAGCGTATTACACTATGGTTGAGAAAATAGTGGAGTATTGTTGAGAAAATATTGAGAAAATAGTGGAGTATTGTTGAGAAAATAGTGACAACAGTTACTTTTATTCCAACATTTTGTTTTGTTAGTTCCAAAATATCAGCCTCACTTCCTAATCTAATTAATAATTATTATATTTGATTAATAAAATAAAATAATTATTATATTTGTTAAAATAAATATTATTTATTCATATGATTATAATTTCACCTATCGTGAGTATAATTTTATGAATTCTTGTGTGGTAATTACATGATTAATTGGTCGATGATAAAAGTATTTATATTAATAATTATTATATCCTATCGATATATTATTATTGATATAAATTTAGAATAAATAAAATTTTATTAATTAGTAATTATAATCTGTATTATATTAGTAAGAATTATACCCTATCGGTATTATTATTAGTGTAATTTTGTTATGATACAAACTATTGTTAACATCTTATGTTTATTTTATGCTTATTTTATCATGTTTAAATATCCCATCGATATTGAAATTTTGCTAATATAAGTTTATGTTTATTGATATATCTTTGATGCAAGATCGTAATGAGTTAGAGTTTTTTTTTAGGAAAATGTTTGGCTGGTATATGAGGAATCAATTTTCTATATTACATAATTATTCATTTAATGATTCTTTATTCCTCCATAACAGTCTCTTTTCCTAACTCTGTCAAAACTCTTAATGGGACCAATTATGAGGACTGGAAAGAGTCTCTTGATCTTTATTTGGCTATAGTCAACCTTGACTTGGCTCTGAGAACTGAAAAGTTTGGCGCTATTACTGGCACGTCTACTGAAGCTCAGATGACTCTTTATGAAAAATGGGAACACTTCAATAGAGTGTGCCTTAAGGTGATATCTTACACTATCGAAAAATCTATAAGACAAAGCATACTAGAAAGTGAGAGTGTTAAAGATTACTCGAAGTCTGTTGGTGAGAAGTTCACTCGTTTTGATAAGGCTAAGAAGTGTGAGTATTTCTCTTTGTTTGACAAAACTAAGTATGATGGTGTTAGTGGTGTGCGTGAACATATTATGAAGTTGATCCACTATTATAATAAGCTTAAAACTCTCAAAGTTGAAATTGGTGAGAGCACTTTGATTTGGAGGGTTCTTGAGTCTTTGTCTCCCCAATTTGATGTTATGCGGACCTCTTATAATACTCAGAAAGTCGAATGGTCTGTGGATGAGATGATAACCATAGTAACTCAAGAGGAAGATTTTATGAAAAAGGCAAAAGCTCAAAGTGTTCAGATTGTTGCTTCTACTCCAGGAACAAAGAATTATAAGAAAAACTTCCATAAGGGAAAACGTCATTTTGATGATAAGAAAGGAAAAAGAACAACACAATATCTGGAGCCTAAGGATAAGTCTTTTAAGAAAAATATCTTTAAAGGAGAGTGCAAGTACTGCAAGAAGTATGGACATAAGGCAGATGATTGTTTTATCTTGAAAAAGAAACTTGAAAAGCAAGGTACACTCTTAGCTCTAGCTTGTTTTGAATCAAATATAGTAGATGTTCCTTCCAATACTTGGTGGTTGGACTCATGTGCCACTATTCATGTCGTGAATTCTTTGTAGGGATTCACAAGCCTGAGGAAACCAAGTGATGTTGAGGCGAAGATCATTGTGGGAGATGGAGCTAGAGTATCAGTGATGGAGATAGGAGTTGTTTCCTTGTTTTTACCTTCCGGACACATTTTGATTTTAAAAGATGTAGTTTATATACCTTTAATGAGAAGGAATTTGATTTCTATTTCAACTTTGGATAAATGTGGTTACTCTTTTGTCTTTGGTAATGGAAAACTTGATGTTTGTTTTAATTCCTCTATTGTTGGCTCTGGAAATTTGCGTGATGGTTTATATATGTTGAATGTGAATGAGATGTTTGTTAATTTTGTTGTTGGGACAAAGCGCAATAGGAAAGATGAGAACTCTTCGATATTATGGCATAAACACTTAGGGCATATTTCTAGACCTCGTATTGAAAGACTAATTAAGGAGGGTACTTTGCCTAATCTTGACTTCTCTGATTTAGAAACTTGCGTTGATTGCCTCAAAGGAAATTTCATTGACAAAATCAAGAATACAAAAGCGAATAGGTGTGAAGATGTATTGCAATTTATTCACACAGATATATGTGGACCTATTACACTCATTGTTATGGGTGGATACAGGTATTTTATCACTTTCATAGATGACTTCTCTAGATTCAGATGGATAGAACTTCTCCAAGACAAGTTTACTTCCTTGGATGCCTTCAAATCTTTTAAAGTTGCCAATGAATTGAAATCAGGAAAGAAGGTCAAATGTGTGAGGTCTGATAGAGGAGGAGAATATTATGGTAGATATGATGAGACAGGAAGAAATCTGGGACCATTTGCTAGATTTCTAGATGAATGTGGTATTGAGGCTCAATACACTATGCCAAGTACTCCTCAGCAGAACGGAGTTGCAGAGAGACGTAATCGCACACTTATGGACATGGTTAGGTGAATGATGAGTCATTCGTCATTGCCTGATTTTCTTTGGGGTGATGCTTTGAAGACTGCTGTCTACATTCTAAATCAGGTGCCTAGTAAATTAGTGTCGAAAACTCCTTATGAACTATTAACAGGAAGGAAGCCAAGTTTGAGACATTTTCATGTTTGGGGTTGTAAGGCTGAAGTCAAACATTACAATCCTCAACAGAAGAAACTTGATATGAAGATTGTTAGTGGTTTCTTCATCGGATATAGTGTTGAGTCTAGAGGTTGCAAATTTTATTGTCCTTCTCATTCTACACGAGTCGTTGAATCTGATAGAGCAATTTTTTTTAGGGTGATTTGGATAGTGGAGTCTCTACGCCACGACCAGTTACTCTTGAAGAAGAACGTACTTTTCTCCCTATACCAATCATTCCTTTCCATAATGAGGTTGTGATTACAGTAATCCAAAATAATGATCAAGTTGTGTCACCACAAATAGATGAACATGAACAAATTGATACCCTAGAGCCTGTTGGTGTTGTTGAACCAAGTGACATTGCTGAAGTTGTTCCATTAAGATGTTCTTAGAGAGTTTGAAAGCCTACAATATCAAATGACTTTGTTGTGTATCTCCAAGAGCATGAGTTTGATATTCATGATGATGATGATCCTACCATTTTTAATGAAGCAATTTCTTGTTCTCATGCTTCTAATTGGCTGCATGCTATGCATGATGAATTAAATTATATGTCTCTTAATGGTGTTTGGGATCTCACAGGGTTACCAGTTGGTTTCAAGGCCATTAGATACAGATGGGTTTTCAAAACTAAACGTAATCCTGATGGTAAAATTGATAGATACAAAGCCAGACTAGTGGCAAAGGGCTATAGTCAAAGAGAATGGATTGATTACAAAGAAACTTTCCCACCCATCTCTACCAAAGATGCTTTTCGAGTTGTTATGACTTTGGTTGCACACTTTAATTTGGAACTTCACCAGATGGATGTGAAGACAGCTTTTCTGAATGGAGAACTTGTTGAAGATGTTTACATGATTCAGCCTGAAGGTTTTATTGAAGCAGGAAAAGAGAAGTTAGTATGCAAACTGAAGAAATCCATATATGGATTAAAACGGGCATCTAGACAATGGTATTTAAAGTTTGACAAAGTTGTCACTTCTTTTGGTTTCAATGAAAATGCTTCAGATCAGTGCATTTATTTAAAGACCAGTGGGAGAGATTTTATAATCTTAGTGTTATATGTCGATGATATTCTTCTTGCTGGCACTAGTGTTAGTCTTTTGAATGAGACAAGAACAATGTTAAGTAACCACTTTGATATGAAGGACCTA